GTTGTAGGGTTCTAGGGTTCTAGGGTTTAGGGTTTTGTGGAGCTTCAGGGTTTTGATAGCATTTTGGGTTTTATGGGGCTTTAAGGTGGTTTTACGCTTTTAAGGTTGGGCTGTATGGGGCTCTAGGGGGTTTGGGAGCGGTTCAGGAGTTTAGGGATGTGATTTAGGGGGATTCAAAGGATGCAGAGGGTCAGGCGCATCACAGCCGCCATCCAGTCACGTACGGTTTTTCTTGCCTTGGGGAAAGGTTGCCCAATGTCCACGTGTGAGGGCAACTTGGCTTTTCCGGCGAGGCCCATTGTTCAGAGGGGCTTAAGGAGTCAGGGAGATTCTTTTCTGGCTGATGGCCCATTCAATGTTTGGCCGATGTACGGGACTCTGCTGGAAACTCCTTCCAACAGCGGCAGGGGATCCTACATGTACCCTGATGCCATTTCATTTTGTTGAGTTCCTCAGGATTATGGACATTGCTTGCACAGTAGATAGGGGCACACGAATCTTGCAACTTGAGCAGGTCGTGGGGGAAGAGATTGAAGGCGATGTCCAGCTCCTGGAGCCTTTGGCTTAGGCTAGGGCAGTGAGGGGGAAAGGTGCTGGGTGATTCTGTGGACTTGGAATCGTTTGCAAACATGAGGGTCCACATAGGCCTTGCTGGCGAGGATGCAGGTCTGCAGCAGTCACTGGTTACAGCAACTCTTATAACTATTGCTCTTGCTAATATTACATTTGCTATTTTTTTTTGCTGCTATTACCCTCATTGCCATTACTACTATTATAGCCATTTTTGCTTATGATTCAAAGGGCCTAGCTCAAGGCATGCAGCTTCAAGTCATGGGGTGAACTGGGAAGGGATGTGGGGGTTTCCCAAAATTAGGGTACCACTTTGGGGGTCCCAAGAATGAGGAGCGTACTATGCTGGGGTCCCCTGATTTTGGGAAACTACCATGTGCCGAGGTCTGGCATGGACTCCCTGTCCGGCGTGGAGTTCAGAAACAGGTTGCAGCAAGAGCCATGAACTCAGATGTGTTTTAGGGTTTAGGAGTTTGGGCTGTTACACAGACACTAAACCCGAAATGCAAAAAAAACACTAAGTCCTGTATGCTAAACCCCAAATCCTAAACCCTAAGCCCTAGCCCCAGTAGATCTACATAGCATTCAGGCCCCCCGGTCTTTTTTGGAAATCGCTGTCAGGCTTGGGGGCGTTCGACTTCCAAACTCGGCGGTCTTCGACTTCCCGACGGCCAGCCATGCCACGAGTCTACTAACTACTAAGTAGAGTTCAAAGTAATGTCGACCACTAGATATATATATATATACATATATATAGAAGTTATATATATATGAATATATATATATATACACATACATATATACACATCATAATCTGATATAATGTGTGCACACTATAAATCCTCACACAAGTCTAGAGGCAACTGAGATCTGCGGCTGCCAGGCCAACTTGCTGGCGGGCTTCATTGCTGACCAGTTCACAGGGGCACCTGTCCAACAGACCCAGGAGGCGAACAAAACTCCTTGCGTTTTGGGTCTGGAAATTTGCGCACTTACAAGACTTGGGGGCCCTTTGGCTGCGGATTGTAGTATATCCCTTAAATCCTAAACCTGAAGGCGCTCGCTGCCTCCCCTGCCACGGGAGAATCCAAGATTCTGGAGTTGCTAAACTCGAGGACTGGGACATTCCTGGGAATGCTTGTTGCTTTAGTCTTCATGGAACCATAATCCCTAAATATGACCTTACAGAACCTACAAAGTAGATTTCTGTAGGGCCCTGAAACCTATCCCACCTGGACACTTCTCGAACTCTGTGGCTTCTGAAGCAACTGCCAAAGCTGGAACCAGCCCTGCAATCCCCCGGAAGCAGGCACTTACAATTGTGTCCACCCTTGATCAGGGCCTTGCGCATCCAACACACGCCCAAAGGTTGGCGGATTCGGGCCTACAGCTTGAATGCGGAATCCTCATGTCCAAGTACAACTCTGTAGCCTTGAAGGTCCAAAGATCCACAATTGCCTTTGAAAAGCTTCGTGAGGGCGCATTTGCGTAATGAGTGCGGTCTAGTCTGACAAGAGTATCCACAAAGGTGTCATCATTTTGAAAAGTCATAGCCTGCAAGCTGCAAAGCATTCAGAAGACATACCGTACAACGCCAGAAACCCTCAAAGCGTTAAGGTTACAAGGTTGGAGCCGGTCATCCTAACGCCCTAAACCCTCAACCCTAAACTGCCATAATGGGTGTATATATATATATAGTACCTTTTTGAAACCAATTTCGCAACTTGAATTTCGCTCCCTAACAGCAGGCCGGTAAACCTCTATCAGCCCTTAGCCCAATCATGTGCTGGAGGACTTCTGGCGTGCCGCTGTTTTTGGTGCCAGGGGCAGGGCTCCAGGCCCCTTGGGCTCACAAGAACCAGGAAGCTTCACATAAAGGGGTGAAGATCTATAAGATTCCCAGGGTTTACTGCAGTGCGACGTCTTAGGAAACTTAGCACACGCGGACCCTGGGGCCTTTTTCGTTACTACGCAGAGCAGAACATCAAAGTCTTTGTAGGTGTTGTGACTGTGCTACATCCTACATGCAATGACGACTGATATGTTGCATGATGATTTGGGCCTTGGGCCTATCACAGCAACAGTGGAGAAAACAACTGACTGAAGGAACTGCTACTACCTGCAGACAGCACTGACATGTCAGAAGGGTGATTTCTTCACTCCTCCTTGGGTCCACCGCTTA